AAAAAAAAATATTATGAATTTAAACTCGTAAACATAATTTGTAGTACTTTATACTCTAATTCTTTTACTAACTATAATTTAATGTCAGATCTCTTTTAAGAGAGTTAGAACATGAACCTCAGAATACAATACAGAGATAAAAACTAATTTAGAATACCATATTTGTATAAATAGATTGGATCAAATTGCTCGAAGTTGAAATCAATCAATAATCATTTCGATTTGAACTAATAAAAAACGTTGAGAAGTGGTCAATTGGATAGATCAAAATTTCTTCTGTTTGAAAAATATGTTTTGATAATTCAAATATATTTTTCAATAAATAAATATATTAATTTGAATATTGAATATCTATAAATTATTATATTGATTAGTTTAGAAACTTAAATATTTTAAAATTATCTAAATGTTCAATTAAAAATAATTTTATAAAATGTTGATTATTTAAAGTAAGACATATTTATGGATATTAATTTATTATGTACAGTTCAAGTGTTGACCAATGAACTTGGCAACGCTTGGCAGTTATATACTAAACAAATAAATATAATAAAATTATGAAGTGAATAAAAAATAAAACATATGCACCATGGCTAGATAGATGGAAACCAAGTAAAATACACCACCAACAACTATTATTTTTTATTCATTTCTTCGGAATATCTTTATTGTTAAGTTTTGTTTACTTATGATGAGTAACATATTAGAAATATATGATTTCACATACAAAGTGAACTTTTTACTCAATATTTGAGTGAGTGCCTATGCCCACACTAGACCTATTATGGATTCGCCGCTGCCTCCACTGAACCCCCTATGGAGTCTCTAGATATAACCCACTTACTTGCAGCTAATCTTCTATAGGCCCCCATCCTAGATTTTATTCTCTTATCGTCAATGGAATACCTCACCCAAACCTGCTCAAATACCCAACTATTCTAGGTTTACAAAGCTACCAAAGGAGATAGATTAAATGACTTATCCTATCTTTGAGGCTTTTGACATCATCAATACGACAAGTTTCCAACCACAAATACTTAAACCCTAACCTATTAGTTTCCAGCATATATATCCCGACTAACCTCTACCAGTTTCCAACATTTAGCTGCTTAAGGACATCTGAAGAAGATATGATCTAAGTCCTCCTCCCCCTCCCCATAAATCTGCCAAAAAGTGACGAAAACATTTGTCATAAAAAATTGAATTTTCGTCACCAAATCTATTTGATGACGAATTTTGAGTGTCACAGCGTTCGTCACTGTAGCCGCGTCATAATAGGTCTATATGACACTTTTTAAATTTCGTCATTTAATGTTAAATATTTATGACAAAAAACGGTGTTGTCATTGTACCGTTGGTGGATTTGGTGACGTTTTACATGTCACATTTACCATTAAATTTTGTCACCACATGATTGATTTGTCACTAAAAGTTAATCTTTATATGACAAAAATGTAATGTTTCGTCATCTAAAAAGTCGTATACGATGACAAAATTAATTTTATCGTCATCTTCAATACCCTATAATGACAGTTGATTTGTCGCAAATGTCATCTAAACTACAATTTGTCATTTAATATATTGTTGTGATGACGAAAATTAGTAGTGTCATTGTACATTTGTAAGATAAGGTGACGGTTTTCTTGTCACAATTATCATCACAACTTTGTCACAAATAGATCTGTTTTGTCACTAAAATTAACTTTTACATGACGCATTTATACCGTTTCGTCATCTAAACAGTCACATATGATGACAAAAGTAAGGTTATTGTCATATTTAGTACACAATAATGACATTTAGTTTGTCGTAAATTCCATCTAATCTTGTCATCTATAATTAAATTTGTCATTTAATGTGTATTTTTTTATGACAAAAAGTAGTATTGTCATTTAACGTTTATGAGATATGGTGACATTTTTCTTGTCATATTTATCATCGAATGTTTGTCACAATATGATCTATATTATCACTAAAAGTTGGCCTTTATATGACAAATGTAACTGTATCGTCATATTTCTAAAACTATAATGACAATTATTTTATCTCAAATTCCATCTAATCTTTGTCATCTATAATATAATTTGTCATAAAAGAGTTGTATTATAGTTACAAAAAATAGTTGTCACCAATGAAATATTTATATTGACGAACGAACATGTCACATTAAAGTTTTTAATATGATGAATATTTTTGTCACCAGATGAATATATTAAAGATGATAAAATATTTAGTCGTAAAAGAAGTTGCATTATATGACATGATGTTTATCGTCACCAAATGCATATAAAAATGTGACGATTAATTTTATCATCAAATATATATATATATATATATATATATATATATATATATATGACGCAAATAATAATTGTCACTAAAGAAATAGCTATGGTGACTATCAATTTGTCATAACCAAATAATATGTATGACAAATATATCGTCACTAAATAAATTCATACTAATACTGCAAAACAATAAAAATGAAGCATTCATAATTTAAAACAAAACTAATACTTCAAGGTTTAATTGAAAAACACTTAAAAAATATCCAAATCCACACTCTTATTGCCTAATGTTGCTGAATTAAAGACTGCCTTTTCAATTTGTACCCATGAATGCCATAATCTTTTCAATATTCGCAGCTTGTTGGTCCATTGTATTCTTCATGCCATTAACAGTTTCTTTGAGCTCACTCACTTGTGATTCTGAAGCTACTAGCTTTTCTCGAGTTTCCTGAAGCTCCTTTTGAAGAAGCTCATTTTGAAGATGGTTGGCGGGAGCATAAATGCGCTTATTCAAGCGGCTCGTCTGATAACCGAGACCCTTCAGAAAAGTAGATCTTTGACCGAGCACCTCGTGAACTATTTCTTGGTTCGTCTTCTCAGCTCCTTCCGCTATATATTTTTCTCGTCGCGAAACCATCAACTCCTGATGCAATATATTATTATCATTTCAGTAAGTATACAGTTGAAATCTATAATAGATGAAATATCTGAAATCTTAATAGATGATTTCTGTTACAGCATAAGATTGCTCTCATACCAATGGTTAGCAAAACAAAAATGAAAGTGAGAGTTACCCAATTTTCTTTTGCCTCCTCAGTTGACCAACCATGTTTGTCCGTGCAATGTGTGAGTTTGTAGAACTCAATTACGTCTCCAGCATCTCCATTAGCAGCTTCATTATCATCTCCATTAACATCTTTCTCGGCCTAGTCAATATTAAAAAAAATAAAGAGATATGAAGGTAATTGCATTCTAAAACATTGGTGTTGAAAATTATAAATACAATGAACAGTACAAAATAAAATGAAAAGCACAAGGAACTTAATAATATTTTTGCATTCAAAAACATAATTTCTTGTTTATAACTTACAATTTCATGTTGAAGAGTAGAAAAAGGAGTTCTCCCAGATATATGTGGGGTCCTTAACAATTGTCGATTCACAGTGTTAGCCAAACTTTGGTGCTGAAACAAAAAAATGGAATGTAAGAAATAATCTCAATATTTTATTTAAGGTACCAATTATCAATATCAAGAGACGTCACCTTAAACTTAGCTGATGCAAAATAATCACAGAGTTCCTCCCAATTTTCTTTACTGGCACAAAATGGTGGTTTATTATCCTTAGCCTCTTGTAGGGTTGCATACTTCTTGAAATGCTTATGCATCTTGTAACGCATTTGTCGAGAAGTTGATTTTATCCTATCCACCAAGCAATGCCTCACACCCGGCACATCCAAGTTCACATCCATGTGAATCTAGACATCACATTTAACATATTATTGAATTATTATCAATTATGCACAAGAATTTTATGACAGGAGCCTAGAAGTAGTAAGAATTATTTATTTCAGAAACTGGCAAATGTAATTATATTCTTTCAGCTACTTTAAGTTGATGTGTTGTTACAA